TGGATGAGCGCTATAAATATGAACTTTGTGGGCTGTGTGGCACCTACTCCGGAGCACAGTATGATGACTTTGCAATGCCAGGGGGAAAACTTGCTGGTGACTCATTCGAATCTGCTGACAGCTGGAAAAAGGACAATGAGTAGGACTCTTCGATATCATTCTAATTGTTTTGTTCAACTTTCTTTAATGAGCTTTATAAATTAACAGATGTTTTGTGGAGCTTTTAAACAGTTTGAGTAAATGTTCCAATGTTCTAACTTTCAATTTTCTGTAGGCCTACATTAACTTGAATCTTTTTTTCCTCTCTTCTGTTTTTCTATAGGTGTGTTTCCCATCCAAACAATCCCAGAGAGTGTGTTGGTGAGGAGTTGGATATGGCCAACAAGGAGTGTTCTGCAGTGTTTCAAGGCTCCTTTGAGGGCTGCCATAGACATATTCACCCAAGCATTTATTTGGAAAGCTGCATGTTTGACTACTGTGCCACCAGTGGTGACAGAATAACATTGTGCGAATCACTAAAATCTTATGTGACTGCATGCCAGATTGCAGGAGTGGAACTTGACAATTGGTGGATCGGTACAGCTTGTGGTGAGTTCTGCTGTTTGCATCAGTGTAGAAGCATTAAGATGAGCACCTCTAATGATTTCTTTATTGAACATGAAGGACTCATTAGTTCTCGTTTCAATACAGAAGGCCGCCTAACCACAGGAACTCCAACTGCTCTTCCTACCACTCCATCTCAGCCGTGTAAGGACATTTTACCCTTATTTATAAACTTACTACTGTTCAATGGGTTCATAATATGTCTCTTGCAGTGTGTTCCCTCAACTGTAATTTTGACATAAATATTTGTGGATGGGAACAACTTGTTCAGGATAGTTTTGATTGGACCAGACATTCAGGGCCCACACCATCAAATCTAACTGGACCAGACCATGATCATACAACTGGAGGTACCATCTATTTTTTTTCTTTTACCTACTTTCAATAAGAACATGCTCATACATTGATACTTTTATATTCTAGCTGGTTTCTACTTGTACCTTGAGGGAGATGGTGTAACTCACGGAGACTCGGCTCGCTTGCTGAGTTCAGTGTGTAATTATGGTGGCCCACTCTGCCTGCAGTTCTGGTACCATATGTACGGTTCTGCCAAGAGAATGGCTCTCAATGTCTACCTACTCCAAAACTATACAGCCAC